CATTAAAATAGTTTTTTAGTCACTTAAGATATTGAAGCGTCATGAATGTTTGTCTTTTCATTTCATCACTAACGTAATGTTTTTATCCATTTTAAGGTGAGAGAGACTCTCTGGGTTTCCCTCCTCCCGGGTGTCCAGGTCACACCCACACATCAGGGGACCCCTGACGGGGCGCAGGGTCCGGCCCAGGGCTAGGGGAGCCTGTGTCCAGCGTGGCCCCCCCCGGGAACAGGCCGGGTCTGACCCCTCCCTCCCCTGGCCCACGGTGACCAGCGCCCGTGGGGAGAGGGGACGGGCCGGACTCAGCCCGCAGGCCCGAGTCCACGTTGCCGGGAGACAGCCGGTCACTGGCCGGGGAGGGACCCCGCCCGCCGGCCACACTGACTCCCCGGGGCCTGTGACAGTCGTTGTAACGCAACAGGAAATCACCTGAGAAAGGACTGCTACAGACTCGGACTCATACTACGGCCTAAACCTGGGCCGGACCCCACGGCGACAAGGCAGAGGGGCGGGAGCCCCTGGGGTGCGGGGTTCAGGCTCAGCACTGAGAGGCTGACCGCAGCCACCGCAGCAGAGTTCCTTCCCCAGCCAGGGAGGGACCCCCAGGGCGCAGCAGACACCCCCTCTCCCGGCTGCTCCCCTCAGCAGTGCGTTTCAGTGGATCCGCCTGCTCTGCTCCCCACTCTGTCTCTGGGGAGGCCTCTCATACCCCCGGGCCACTTCTGGAGTGATGAAGAGATAAAGGTGACCCTTAAAACAATGAGCAGGTCAGGCGCCCGGGTGAGCTTGAGTCCCCGAGACCCACCTCCGCCCAGCCCGCAGCAGGGTCTCAGGGGAGCAGACGGGGTGGGGGCGTGGGGGTGTCGCCTGAACCTGTCACTGTCCCTGGGACCCAAAGCTGAGGCTCTAGGGGCGGGTATCGGGGTACCCACGGGCCCGTGACCCCGGCTCAGTCGCACGCTAGGTCACGAAAGCAAACGCACGTGGGAAACCCCAGGACACCCCACGCAGGGTCGCTCACCGCGGCAAGCGCCTCAGGCCGCAGGAGCGCAGAGGCCTCTGGGGCCCGAGGCGGTGGCGCCCGCTGGCCTGGCGCCCACGGGGTCACGCCCGTTACGCCCAGCGGCCAGGTCAGCCGCAGGAGCACAGCAGAGACAGGGGTCGGGGGCCCCTGGCCACAGGGGAGCTGCCCCTGCCGCGCCTCCCCGCCCCTCCCGGCCTCAGCAGGCAGAGCCAGGCCGAGTTCAGAGGCCACAGCCTCGGCCAGGGGAGGGGGTGTCAGGTGACCGGTGGTGGGGACCCCCAGACCCTGAGGTGCAGGAGCCCGGGCCCGACTGTGCGGCCTGGAGCCCCAGAAGCATAACTGTGTGCTGCGCCCCGGGACACACAGGGGGACACGGCCCAGGACGCCCGGAGGGAGGACGCGGCCGGCACTGACCCAGCCAGACCCCAGCACGCGCCGGGAGTCCTCAGTCCACAGCGAGTCTAGGGCCCGGTCAGGCCACACACGGGGCCGGGCAGAGCAGCGGTCAGGGGCCCAGGGCCACCCTGTCCCCCGGGAGTCCAGGCCCCCGAGCTTACAGCCCGTCGG